CTCTGTGGCAAATGCGAATTTTGGCGTCCTAGTGATGGGCAGGATCTGAACCCGGGTGTCGGAGATGCAGTCAGTGGGTGGACATCAACAGGAGCCATGGAGCAATATGGAGATTTCTCCAGTACTTCTTACTGTGTTGCCACAGAAATTATTCCCTGGCTATTTCATACAGACCTAATGACAAAGCACGCGTTGGCTTTTGCCATCTTGACCATGAGTTTCTCATCCCCATCTTTCCCTGTTACTTCTAGTCTGTGCTATGTTCATACAGACTACAATTCTCACTGACAACGGGATAAACTGTTCCTTTCTTTTCAATTTCTCCAGGCCTTATTTCTAGGCAACTACAGACAACTCTCCAGTTATAACTAGGACAAAAACTTCTGGTAAGTTGGATCACATGGGAAGTATATTTTTTTTATTTTTATTTTGACTTTTGCTCATGGTGACTGATGCACCTTCATCTAGCGTGAGTGGGTTTCAACTCCCAAAATTTGTTTATCAAAGGATTGGGGTTGGTTTGAAACTGAAGTCACTTCAAAAAACCCACTCCCAATCCTCCCACTCTGTGCTCAGTCTTGGGAGTGGAAAATACCTGCCATGCACTGCCACATCTCTGTGGGTACTTGAGTCAGCAGGACATCATCTACCATGGGGCTGGAAGCCCTGTGGCTGCATCTGTGGGATCTGTAACCCACCTGCCCATAAGAAGTCAGAGTGTAATAGACTGGGATTATCTTCAAACTCTGTACCAGGCTGAACAACAGCCCTTGAACTCCTCCTGTCACCGGCTAGGAAGCAATGAGTGACTCAGGCCATAGTCAGCACCACTGAGGAGTCAAGCCCATGTGTCTTGAATGACACATCACAAGAATTAGTCTCACAAGTCCTTTTTGTAATATGTCCTGAAGTCCTTACAGCAATACATCTCCTACACTACACTCAGCACAGTGAGGTAGAGCTCTATAATGTCCCCATTTGATAGAAGCAGCACTAAGATTTGAAGGATTTATCCAGGGTCTCATATAAAATCCATGCTATAGCAGGGAATAGATCTCTTTCATGTCACAGTGCACCTTGCCAAGGCATTTCAGACAGGATTCAGCTCCGACTGTAGAGTCACCTCAGGGTATCCATGAGTGAGTGATGTCTCTTACTTTCCTTAATGGAGAATTAAGACTTAGTGCAACCACCACAGATGGGAATCCAGCAACATTTGGGATGCTCTAGGATATCCCAGACCTCCCTGTGGAGCTGGCAGATGTGACAAACTTGCACAGAGGAGACAAGAACACTTTTGAGCTGGGAGCTGGAGTGAGTCAGGGTACTCGGGGCATCTCAGCCAGAGCTGTATGAAGGTCATTGGTTGGACCCTGTGGCTGTATTGCCTACATCCCCACTGAATACAAGGGAAGTCTGGACACCCCCATCATGTGGAGAAACCTCCAGTGGAGACACCTTTGTCTGGGTGTCTGAATCTGCAGCTGAACTTGTCCATCATCTTGAGCTGCCTCGATGCTGACTTCTTGAATTCTGCCTTTCTCAGGGGGACCTAATGAACAAACCTCAGTGATACATGCATGTGGCACAGAGACCAAGCAACAGTTAATGGTGAAAAGAAATGAGAAAGCACTAAAAGTGGGAAATAAGGCAGCTATACAAAAGGCTAAACTTTCTGAGAAGAGTGTCGGACCAAGGAATAGAGTCTCTGAGAAGGGCAAACAAGAGCCATTGCTTGGGATGATGAAAACATGAGTGGATGGGAGTATAATGCAGTAATGATCTGACACCAGAGGAGAGAGGCATGAACCACTCTGAGTTCAAGGGAAGCTCCTGCCTCCTTGCTGAAGCTTGCAGGGGCAGGCAGAATTTCAGTCCGTTTCAGTTTTCATCCTCTCGTTCCTGCTAGTGGCCCAGAAAAAGAAAAGGCCACTTCATAAATATAATGGGGGTCTTTGAAAAACCCACATCCACATGAGAAACTCAAAACAATTACTCCCCTTAAACTGCCATTGCTGTTTTTAAAGCTCATATATGTACAGGAATAAAAAACAGCGCACAGAAAGCCATCCCAGTCTATCTGGCCTATTCACACTGTGCAATTACATGTGGTTTTACGACTAG